GTCTGTGTTTGTATGTCGGTGTGTGTATGTGTGTGTGTGTGAGAGAGTGTATGTGAGTGTATGCGAATCTCTCTCTCTCTCTCCGCTCTCTTTTTCTTTCTCCTCTCTCTCTTCTCTCTCTTTCTCTTTCTCTCTCTCTCTCTCTCTGTGTATGTGTGTGTGGTGTGTGTGTGAATGTAAATAGACGCATGCGTGTGTGCATGTGCGTGTGTGTATTTGATTTCTTGTATGCTACGTCCTGATTTTATAGAATGTGTGTCTTAACATATTAATATTGATAAATAATTTGTGAAAGATGTATTTTATTGAAAATATAGTACAGAAAAGTAATGAATGCGCAATGTGTGTGTGTGTGTGTGTGTGTGTGTGTAAGTGTGTGTATGTGTGTGTATGTGTGTGTGTAAGTGTAATCAAGTTTGCGTTCATATGCACATGTGTGTAGTAGATATGTTGAGTATGAAAATGTATACACGCTGATGAGTGGCGAGCTTGCGCGTGCATGGATGCGTTGGTAAGTGCAGCTGAGGCTATGAAGATGACGGGAAGGAATTAATTAAAAAATAACATGCAACTCAAGTTTGATCACTACAATAACAAAACAATGCCAATGTAAAAATAGAAACAACAGAATAATTACCTCCGTAATATTTTTTTATAGGAATCACCTTAAAAAAAACACTGCATAACAACAAAATTGCGAAGATACAACCGCATCAGGAGCAACAATAGATCAAGTGCAAATGAATAAATAACGTCGCTACATACTTCTCAAACTCTAAGCAGGTCGTGCGCTACAAAAATTATTTCCTCAAAAAAAAATTTTTGGCCAGACATGTAAGAATATATTACAATGCACTTTGTGGACACGCGCGCAAAAATATTAGTCTTAAAATATAAAAAAAACTACAAGTTCATATAAAACACATTTAAACAAAACTCATAAACAAATGAAACCCCATCTGTACAAACACAAGTTGACTAATTCCAAAAATTACATACTAGACAACACCAATATATAGAATGATTGGACAAATTACACATGCACACATTACCAAATGAAAACAAATTAACTCGATTTACTGCCAGTAAATTACGACAAATGGATAGATAGGAGGAGACGCTGGTAGGTTTTTACTCGCTTTACAATGCTCTGCATCATTTTCCTGGCACGGCCTTCATGCTGCTAGGTCTTGCAGGAAACTTTTTACCATGACGAGGATGAATAATTATTTCTATTGTAATGTTATTTATTATTTAATGTAAATCCTTAAATTGGGACATGATGTGTGCATATTTTTCTATCCGGTTGTCATTCCGTCGAGTATTGAAGTTAGCATTAATTTAGTAAGGTCATGTTGTGGGATGCTTTGTAATGTGGCGTCCCAACATCGTGTGACTACTCTTCTCACTGGGGTCTCAACTTTGTAATTTCATTTAATTAATTTTAGTTTTGCGGTTGGTTGTGTTGGCGGTCTAATAATTATAGAGAGGACTGCACTCGCTTAATTTAATTAAATATTGAATAATGAATGATAAATAGGTCAAAATAATTGGCCAATAATAAAATTCTTTATTTGTAAAATTATTAGTTATAATTCAGCTTCTTAAAGCATTTAGATTAATGCTAATATTGTTGCATCTTATTTAATAAGATTGTTAATAAATTTTTATTTAATTTTGAAATACATTGTAGAAAAATTTGTTGAACTCATTGAAACCCGCGTCCCAAGATGCAGCTTAACGCTACCATGGAAGGAAGCACATGATCATTAATTCTCTATAATGCATCACTTCAAACAGTTCCACTCAAATGCCTGCACATGCATACACGTACAACCATGAACGCACGTACATCATACACACACGTAAAAATATACACACACATATACAAACATGCATACACGTACAACCATGAACACACGTACAATCATACACACACATACAAATATGGAACATAATGTTCGCGATGAGATGCACACATGTAGGCCATTCTCACGCTTATTGTGCGCCGTGCAATAACAAATTAGTAGGCACCTGTATTAGGTCTACATTGTTAACATATTTGCTGGCTTGTTTATTAATGTATGAAACACTAAACACCTTGTTGTTAATGTATGAAACACCAAATACCCATGTCAATGCATTTAGCTCACAAACATGTATGTAATTCCATTGCTTCTGAAACTTTATGATTCCGAGGATTTTTAACAGGAACGTCGCGGATTTAATATATATATGATCATATATATAGCATATATTAAAAACATTCTCATAGGCGCTTTAAAACTATGACAATTTTCTACAAGGAAAAAAAATATGTCTTCAATTGACTCTTGAACTGGGGAAGTGTCAGACCAGACCGGCGCAAAAAATATGGAAGTTCATTCCAATGCCTTGATCTATAAACTGCAAAACTACGTGATGCAATTTTTAATTTAGTAACCGGGACCACTAACAAGTTTCCCCGATCTGATCGTAGGCCAGTTTTTTAAAGAAATCGATGAACTGTCAATCAACATTTCGGACAGATATTGCGGAGCCAATCCGTTTAAGCATCTATAAACCAAAACACAGACTTTAAAAACAATTCTTTTGCTGACCGGCAACCAATGCAATTCCGACAGAATTGGGCTAATGTGTTCAACACGACTAGCACCAACAACAATTCTTGCAGCTCTATTCCGAACCATCTGCAACTTAGCAATCTCATTTTTCGAAACACCATAAAACAAACTATTACAATAGTCCAATCTAGAATGTATGAACGAATGAATCAGAGTAACCATGGTTGATCTGTTCAAACTCTTTTTAATTCGATACAATTGCCGCAATTGAAATGAACAAGATTTTACCAAAACCTTTATATGTTCACACATACATAGATTTTTATCTATTTTAAAACCCAAAACTGTAGCCATTTTTCCAAAATCAATAATCATGTCACTTATTTTCACAAAATCGACGTTAATCCTAGAGGTTTGCTGCCAAATTCCAACTGGTACCAGCTGAGTATTTTCCCGATTCAATTTATACCATTCAAGCCCATCCACCCACCCAGGGCACCCAAAAAATCCAACACTCTTTTAATCAGAAAACCAAACTCCCCAGTCGCCGCACTTGCAATTATCTGAACATCATCTGCATAAGCAAAACCCTTTAAAGAAAATTCATCAATGAGATACATAATATCGGCTGTATAATGTAAAAAGAAGCGGGCCTAAAACAGACCCCTGGGGAACCCCAGACAAAACATCAACTGTATTTGACCAAGAATTATTATAATATATATTATTATTATTATATTAATATTATTATATATATATATATAATTAAAAGACTGGAAGGAAACCATAATTGATGCAATATTTGATAAAATCTACCAAATTTTTAGCTTAGTGAGAAAGATAAATGAGCCTGACTGATTTTTATTTATTAATTCTTCAAGACGTGGCTGAACTGAAGACAGTGCCACGCGTAGCGGAGAGCAAACTTGAAAACAGTTTCTGTATTCTGCCTTCATTCCAGTCAAACATGAAAATCCAAATTTGCATAAACAATTAGAAGGGAAAAAAATAAGGTTTTTTATCGCTTCTGTGAGCTCTGGGTATTCCGAATTGATGCTGATCCATGAAACGGAAAGAGATGATGTATTTTCAAACTTCATTTTTAGGCTTTGGTCAGCAGCAAGCTCCAAAATTCAATTTTCCAATTCAACAGTCAAATTTTTTTATGTTCAACAGAAGTATTTTTGATCCATGTCTTTCCTATTCATGGGCCATCCTCCGTAGGAAAGATAACATTCCAACCGTTCAGACAAGCAGGACAGAATGATTAGGGTTTTAAAATTTTTGGTGTCAAATGCTTTGCCTGATTCATCATTGACTGTAGTTAAATTAAAAAAAAACATTTCAAAACATTCCTCTTTCGATCTTTTATTAATTTAGCAATAACGTCGTTAACGTCGTTAACATATAGTTTTACCTGGTTTTTATCAATTTTACTCTAAGTATGTAAAAACAGCTGATTACTCTAAGTATGTAAAAATAGCTGAGAGTTAATCGGCGACGCGTCTTTTTGCGTAATTACATTGTTTATTAATTATAGTTGGCTTGGTTACCTCTAAACTCATCAGCTAGTAATAATGAGGACTTTCTCAATTGTGTTGCTGTCTTGTCTATAAATTTTCTCATTAATTTTTAAAATTTGTTTGAAACCTCGCCCGCAAACAACCACTCTGAGAAGCACTGAGTTAGTCTACAGATGTTGATTTTTAAAATTAGCAAATAGAAAAAAATGTTGATTGTTGTTACGAAAAGCTGTTGGCGTGCAGGCAGATCAGCATAGTTCAACAGATATCCTAATCACAATGTTATACATTAATCTTAATTTGTTAATTTAAAACAAAAATTCAATTACCACAACTGACTCTTCACTTTTCAAAGAAAGGTTTCTTACTGAAAATTAACTACTCTTCAAATATAATTGGATTAGACAAACTCGTTGATGTGACTTGCTACATCTCATCACTTCATTCATATGCAACAGGCGTGAATGTCTCCTAATTTCATTATCAAAATTAGCCACAACCGACAGATTTTTATTGGCTGCCATTTTGAAAATTAAAATAAAGATCTAAATATTAAATACACATTTAATCGAACATATATCTTTATACGTACGTACATAAGATACATACATAGATATACAAAAGAACACAAACATACAATTGTTTCCTAGCTTTGGTTGGTTGGTTGCCTGAGATCTCACAGTAAGTCAAATTAAGATCAAATGAAATTAGCGGGCAGCGTTGATTCAAATTTGATTTGAAATCAAGCTGCACTGCAATGGCTCTGAAGCATGAGAAAGAAAAGAGGACTCGTTGGTTGGCTGGGAATGGTTGGGTATGGATGGTGGTGGTGATGAAGATGATGACGAAAGTGGTTTAAAGGATGAAGATGGAGATGATTGTGAGGGTGATTAGGATGATGATGATGAAGATAATGGCAAAATTAGGATGTTTGAAGATTATGACAAAAGTCTTGATGGCAGTGATGGTGAGGGTAAAGATGAAAATTTATAATAAAAAGATGATGATGAAGAAGATGAAAAAAATGATGATGAAGAAGTTGATGAGGAAGCTGATGAGGAAGCTGATGGGGAAGATATCTCAAAATGATAATATGGCAGTTAGTCAAATCAAAGCTAGAATAACAGCAGTGAAAAAACATTTTGAAAGGAACATTCTTCAAAAGTAAAATGATAATAAATACGAAAAGTTTGGAGATGGCGATCAGGAAAATTAATTTGATAATTATGTCGTAACTGATGGTGACGTCATAATTGTTATTTATAATCATTTTCAGTAATTGTGGATTTGTGAACTAGTAATTTCAGTTTTCAATTAGGAGTAAAAGGATTGCTTGCAAGCATGATCTCTTGCAACAAATTTGAGAATAACATTCTGTATTAAAAACAATAACAACTTCTGTTTGTTATTGAATGATGCATTATGATAATCTTACAACAGTAAATGATATATCATTGATAACATTTAATTATTTATTCATCTTTTGATATTTATTTTATTTCGTTATCATCATTTATTTTAATACATTGCTGGTGATAAGCTGAGTAGAGTAGATAAGATGAGTAGAGTAGATAAGATGAGTAGAGTAGATAAGATGAGTAGAGTAGATAAGATGAGTAGAGTAGATAAGATGAGTAGAGTAGATAAGATGAGTAGAGTAGATAAGATGAGTAGAGTAGATAAGATGAGTAGAGTAGATAAGATGAGTAGAGTAGATAAGATGAGTAGAGTAGATAAGATGAGTAGAGTAGATAAGATGAGTAGAGTAGATAAGCTGAGTAGAGTAGATAAGATGAGTAGACATATCAGTGTGATTTTTTAAAATTTAAAATTACAAAAACGTAATAACATAAATTTAAGTATAAAAACGACATCGTAAATTTCCGCTGATTTGTTGAAAACCGTCAGAGCACAAAATGTAATGAAATCCTTCTAGTCACGAATGCGAACGCGACTGCAAATAAAAATTCATTTCTCCAGAAGTGAAACCAAACTTTTTATGAGAAAAATTTCAATTTAAAAACGTAATTTTTTTCGCTAATCACAGCAAAAAAGTGATTTTTTAAACGTTATAAAATGTCTAATTTGACTGTAGGAAATTTTCTTTTAAAAGGAAAACATCCATCATTTGATATAAAACATGAAGATTTATTCATCAGGAAAAATAAAAAAAAATATTGTTGCTTCTTGAATTTTCTAAAATAAATCTAAAATTGCCATAAGAGAAGAAGAGAGTAGGAAAATTGTTAAAAGTATTGAGAAAAAAAGAGAAGACCACAAACTGAAGAATCGTGAAGCAACACTAGAACATTAATTGTTAACGTTAAAAATTTCAAGTTCATCACATTTAAGATAATAATTGTCAATTAAAATGCATAAATGCGAAGATCAAAATTTTGAAAAAAAGAAATTATCAATAAAAACAGCAATAGGTAGTTGGAATATTTTATAAAATTTGTAGTATACATACGTGCACGCATAAACATGAATACATAGCATTATACTACATATTCAATATATTTACACACATACACACACCACACACACATACACACACACGCACATACACACACACACATCTTCATAAACAAAGAAACAAATGAACTGACACAAACAAACACACACATAAGCACATATTCATTTATAAGCGCAAACACACTTTGTTTCACTCATTTATTCTTCATCAAAAACTACATGAGAAAATGGTCTGAGGGCTTCATAAGAAAATTGAAAAATTCCTCCAAGTCTATCTTAGGTGAAATCAAATTTTACAAAAGAACATTACAGTAATGCATGCATGTAAGCTCAGCTAGGTTCATAAGTTTAAGTTTGGTGTTCACGTTTATCTTTTGTTTATGAAAATATTTCGTTTATG